AGGAGAAAAACCACATGATCATCTCCTTAGATGCTGAAAAAGCATTTGACAAAGTCCAGCACCGATTTATGTTTAAAGTCTTGGAGAGATCAGGGATACAAGGCACATACCTAAAGATAGTAAAGGCAATATACAGCAAGCCTATAGCCAACATCAAACTCAATGGAGAGAAACTTAAATCAATCCCACTGAAATCAGGGACAAGACAAGGCTGCCCACTCTCTCCATATCTCTTTAACATTGTACTTGAAGTCCTAGCCAGAGCAATAAGACAACTAAAGGAGATCAAGGGGATACAAATCGGAAAGGAAGAGGTCAAAGTGTCACTATTTGCAGATGATATGATAGTATACATGAGCGACCCCAAAGATTCAACCAGAGAACTTCTTCAGCTGATAAACACCTTCAGCAAAGTGGCAGGATACAAAATCAACTCAAAAAAATCAGAAGCCCTCTTGTATACCAAAGACAAAAAGGCTGAGAAAGAAATTAGGGAAACAACACCCTTCACAATAGCCACTAATAACATAAAGTACCTTGGTGTGACTCTAACCAAGCAAGTGAAAGACCTGTTTGAGAAAAACTTCAAGTCTTTGAAGAAAGAAATTGAAGAAGATCTCAGAAGATGGAAAGATCTCCCGTGCTCATGGATTGGTAGGATTAACATTGTGAAAATGGCCATCCTGCCAAAAGCAATCTACAGATTCAATGCAATTCCCATCAAAATACCAACTCAATTCTTTACAGACCTTGAAAAAAAGATTCTCAGCTTCATATGGAGAAACAAACACCCAGAATCTCCAAAACGATCCTGTACAACAACAGATCATCTGGAGGTATCTCCATTCCCGATCTCAAGCTGTACTACAGGGCAACAGTAATAAAAACTGCATGGTATTGGCATAGAAACAGAAAGGAGGATCAATGGAATTGCATAGAAGACCCGGAAATAAACCCACACACCTATGAATACTCAATATTTGACAAAGAAGCCAAATCCATTCAATGGAAAAAAGACAGCATCTTCAACAAATGGTGCTGGACCAACTGGATGTCTACCTGCAAAAAAATGAAAATAGATCCATATTTATCACCCTGCACAAAACTAAAGTCCAAGTGGATCAAGGACCTCAACATAAAACCAGATACTCTAAATCAGCTGGAAAAAAAAAGTGGGAAACAGCCTAGAACTCATTGGCACAGGAGACAACTTCCTGAACAGAACACCAACAGCACAGGCTCTAAGAGCAACAATCAATTAATGGGACCTCATGAAACTGAAAAGCTTCTGTAAAGCAAAAGACACTGTCATCAAAACAAATAGACAACCTACAGATTGGGAAAGAATCTTCACCAACCCTTTATCTGACAGAGGGCTAATATCAAATATATATAAAGAACTAAAGAAGCAGAAAAGCAACAAACCAAGTAATCCACTTAAAAAATGGGGAACAGAGCTAAACAGAGAATTCTCGAAAGAGGAATGTCGAATGGCAGAGAAACACTTAAAGAAATGCTCAACCTCATTAGCCATTAGGGAAATGCAAATCAAAATGACCCTGAGATTTCACCTTACACCCATCAGAATGGCCAAGATGAAAAACTCAAGTGATAGCACATGCTGGAGAGGTTGTGGAGAAAAGGGAACCCTCCTCCATTGCTGGTGGGAATGTAAACTGGTTCAACCACTCTGGAAGTCAATCTGGCGCTTTCTCAGACAACTAGAAGTAGTGCTACCTCAAGACCCAGCTATACCACTCCTAGGTATATACCCAAAATTTGCTCAAGTACACAACAAGGACATTTGTTCAACCATGTTCGTAGCAGCTTTATTTGTAATAGCCAGAACTTGGAAACAACCCAGATGTCCATCAACGGAGGATTGGATACAGAAATTGTGGTATTTTTACACAATGGAATACTACTCAGCAATCAAAAAGGAGGAAATCATGAAATTTGCAGGCAAGTGGTGGGATCTAGAAAAGATCATTCTGAGTGAAGTATCCCAGAAGGAGAAAGACAAACTTGGTATATACTCGCTTATATAGACCTACAAGACATGATAAACATAATGAAATCTACACACCTAAAGAAGATAATCAAGAAAGTGGACACAGGCGAAGGTGATTAATCCTCATTTAGAAAGACAAATGGGATGTGCATTGAACTTATGACAGGAGTCTACCACAAAAGGCATCTGAAAGACTCTACCTAGCAGTGTTTCAAAGCAGACACTAAGACTCATAACCAAACCCTCGGCAGAGTGCAGGGAATCATATGAAAGAAGGGACGTTAGTATGATATGGAAAGGATAGGAGCTCTACAAGGACCAAATATATCTGGGCACAGGGTCTTTTCTGAGACTGACACTCAACCAAGGACCATCTATGGATATAACCTAGAACTTCTGCTCGGATGTGGCCTGTGGTAGCTCAGTAACCAAGTAGTTTTCCAAAGTAAGGGGAACACGGACTATTTCTAACAGGATCTCAAGGGCAGGCTGTTTGACACCCCCCCCCCAGGGGAGGAGCAGTCTGTTAGGCCACAGAGGAGGACTTTGCAGCCAGCCCTGAAGATACCTGATAAAACAGGGTCAGATGAAAGGGGAGGAGGTCCTCCCCTATCAGGGGACTTGGAAAGGGGCAGGGAGGATACCAGGGAGGGAGTGTGGGGTTGGGGAGGGAATGAAGGAGGGGGATACAGCTGGGACACAGAGTTAACAAAATGTAACTAAAAAGAAAAATAAAATAAAAAAATAAATAAATAAATAAATAAAATAAAAATAAAAAAAAAAAGAAAAGAAAGGGGTAAAGGAGCAAGCCATTGACCAAAAAAAAAAAAAAAAAGAAACCAACTGACAACAAATACTGGCAAGGACTTGGAGAAAAAAAAATGTTAGCCATGGTTGGTGGGAATGTATACTGTTGTAGCCACTATGGAAATAAGTAAAGCGATTCTTTTATATTTTTTCCTTAAAAAAAAAAAAAAAAAAAAGAAAAGAAAAGAAATCTTTATGAGTTTTTTGCTCTTTTTTTTCCTTTATCTTTTCTTCTTGTGTTAATTTCCTTATTAATGAATTCAATAAACCACAGTACATGCTAACAAAAAAAACAAAGTGAATAAACTGTAATTAATAAAAAATAAAAAAAATTCAGAAACATAAAAAAAAAGAAAAGAAATTATGAAAATTTTCTGTAAATCTATTTGTTGTGATTACACTTAATGCTACGGAACTGTACACTTGAAATGGCTGATTTCACAAGTTATGTATCTTACCACAATAAAATCATGACTACGTAAAAATAAAAACAAAGTTAAACATCATCAATTAATGTAACAGGGAGTACTGCACCTCACTCAGTGCTTATGCATTGAGGGTGGAGAATGTGAAAGCACTCAGGGTCACTTCCTGCCTTCAGAGGATTCAAGTTCTTACCAAAAACAGAGATGTGAAGTGTAAGTAAATGTGCACAAAAGTAGCAATGTCTTCAAAGTGTGAGCGGATGGAACTAATCAAGTGAGACTTCCTGAAGGAGAACCTTGCCAGGGGATAACTGCCCTGGGTGCACTGGTTGCTGTCATTTTGTGAGGGCTTTGTGAATGTGACAGCAGGAGTGAAGCAGGGGCAGGGCAGAAGCAGTGGAGACAAGGGGAGGAGTCACTGGCTTGGAAAGTTCTCCACATCAAGGACCAGAAGGGACAAGATAATTCAGTAAGCTGAGGCCCAATCAAAAGTGAGATAAAATGCAAGCTCTAGCCAGTACCTTTACTGCAGTCTTGTGACATACATTGGACCCACTCAAGCTGGCTTCAGTTCCTCAGACATTATGAAATTATTGTCCAATGCATCAGGCCATACAAATATAATGTGATTAGCTCATATCTCCTAGCCATTAACTGTCATGAGGGCTTTATCTGCTATCCCAAACATATAAGGAAACTATCAAGAAGTTTGCAACAGAATAAGCAACAGAATCTGACTAACAGAATTAGTCAAACTTAGTTAAATACATAAGTGAGCTTAAGCGTAAGACCAGTCAATGACACAGTAATTCCTGAAAACTATGCCAACATTTAGTGTACCATGATGTACACACAAGATATGACAACCGCCAACAGCAATATCATTCAGATTCTAGCTCTTCTATCAGTGTGCAGAGGAACCACATCGCTTCTATACTCCAAGTAGTAATTTCCTTAAATAGACTTCTTAACAAAATTCTAGAAGGAATTTTGTTTGGGCTTGGGAGATAACCGTGTAGGCCAAGGGCTGTGTAACCATGAAGATCTGACACCAGTCCAAAATCCCACGCCAAAGAGAAAGGAAGAAAGGAAGAAAGAACGAAAGAAAAGAAAAGCCAGGCGTGGTGGCACACACATGAATTCACAGAGACAGACAGGTCCACAGTTCTCAATATGTTGCTCAGCTAGCCCAGGCCAGTGAGAGACCCTGTGTCATAAGAGCCAAGGAGGAAAGTGCCTTAGAAACAGTTCCTGAAGCTGACTTCCGGCCCCATCCATGCACACGTGCGCCTGCACACATACACACACAGACGTGCACACATGCTCGCGTGTATGCACACATGCACACAGATCAGCTGCTGTCATTTTATACTTAGCATCAAAGGTGCCTTGTCAAGATCTGATCTAAGCTAAGGAGCTGTTGGCGATGGGTGGCTGCTGGGAGGGAGAGTTGGCTTCTAACAGGCGTGCAGCCTGAGGGACTACCCATGCTCCAGTAGACAGCCCGGCACCATGCACACACTGGCAGCGCTAAGTGGACTCGAGTGATTGTTTCAGGAGTGCATGAAATTGGGAGAGGAGACCAGTGAAGGAGATAAATGAGGAACCGGAGGGGACAGAATCCAGGGTGGATTCATCAAAATACAGTATATGCATATGTGAAATTCCCAAACAATTTTTCAGAAGAACTGAAAACATCCCAGTGAACAGAGAGATGAAATGTGGTTAACTCCATGGAGACCTTCAGAATAACACACCTGCTTCGAGAGCTGCTCCTCACACAGCCGGTAGAGTGTGAAAAATTTCCTGGCCAGAACTACATTGTCGATGAAGCCACAGCTGGCCAACTTCACCCGGATGATAATCTGACGGTCGGGGACCATCATGGACACGGAGCGGAAGTTGATCTTCAAGTTCTCGGGAAGCTCCTGGCGCCCAGCGTAGCCAGGGTTCTAAATGGAAGCAAAACCCAAGAACGAATGACTTACTCCTGGGGCAACTGGGACACACCAGCGTGATAGTAAAAGATTCATTATGCACACAACAAATCTAGAATGTCAGCTGTGGAGCTCATTTACGTATCTTATTCTTCTTTTGCCTGGACAGACTAAGTCCTGAGTTATTAATATGACCTTTGTTTAGCTCCTGAAGGTTTTCAAACAGAAATGATAATTACAATCTCAATTTCCATTCATGAAGCGCAGGTGAATCAGGATTGGGGAGAGGTTTGAGCACTGTGGCAACAAGGCCGGGTTTCATTTCAATTGCTAGCTCTTCCAGCATTACATACCATGGTTAGGAATAGTCCAAATTCTGGGTTCATAGTCACATTATCTCCATCAGTGAAAATAAAGGATTTTTTATGCTCCTTTTTACATGTAAGAATAATAGAGATTTGCTGGGCTGCAACGGAGAGAACTGGTAGATCGATGCGGTTGAATTCATCAAAGCAACCCCAGGACCCAGACTGTGCCAGCCCTTAGAAAGGAAATTAAATAGAAAATCCAATTAGTATATAATTTTGAAAAACCAAGAAAATGGATATTACACAGCTGCCAAGAACCAGAGATCAGTTTATTCAAAACTTAAGTTGGGAAATAAATGGTGCATCAAGAGGCCCCAAACAGCCAAGAAGTTGGCAGCCTGTCTGTAAACATCCAACCGTATTACTGACTACAAGTGCTTTACAAAGGGGAACCTGCATGAGCATTCCATCCACCTAATGTTGCTAAGACTGAGCTTGTCAAATAAAACAAGCTGGGAAAAAAAAAGATGAAACCAAAACATATCCTGTTCTTGAAAAAATATATACAAATCTTTTGCTGTTGTTGCCGCTACAGATTGAATCAAGTTTCCCACAAGCTAAGCATGCTCTCCCAGTGAGCTGCATCACCCACACTGGCAGATGAATCTTAACAAGAAATGTCACCTGATTTGAAATCTGTCAGCCGGTGAAGAGCATGGTGCTCACCTTTGAATATGCGTCCAAGTCCTCGGAAGTCCATCTGGTCTGAGCAGTTGAAAACCACAACGTACTTCCCAAGACACCGGCCCATATCCTTGGTGGTTTCGGTCTTGCCTGTTCCTGCAGGACCAGCAGGAGCCCCTCCCATGCTCATGCCTAGAGCTTGAGCCAATGTGATGTAGCACCTGCATGGCCAGCTAAGTGTTAGAATCTTGCTAGAGCATACAAAGTCACTCGAGACGTCACAGAAAAATGAACCAGCGCATGATTAAAAGATTCAGGAAGAAAGCCCATTTCCCTACAGATAATCTCCAAACCTCCATCCTAAAATAAATGTCCTTGTGTGTGTTGAGATGTGCTGTGGAAAAAGAAGGAGGTGGCCTCTGGTCAAATAAGTTTAAGAAGTCTGTAAATAGTTAAACAGATTTCTTTATTGATGTTTCTCAGGCTTTAGATATTTATGATAATTGAGAATGTATAAGCATGAAAAAATGGTGTAGAGTATCGCCAGCACGTAACTGACAGGCTTCCCTAGAAGTCTCTCCATGGCAAAACAACAACATTGAGTCAGTTTTCCTGAGCATGAGGGAAATGCATGTGGCTATGTATCACCAGGCACCCCCAAGGAAGGATGTTACTCAAAAGGTAAAAACAAGCATTGGTGAGGGAATTGTATTTTGTTGGTGAATATGTGGCTTGGTGAAGTATCTATTGAAAACTGTATGACTTTCTACTCCCCCAAAAAAACTTAAAAGCAACACTAACTTGTACCCATCCAGGCTCATACGCAAATGAAGATGTAATCACCCTTTCTTGAAAATGTCTACCTTGCTATGATCACTACAGCCAAGAAAACACCCAGTTATCAGCCAATGGATGTTCATGGTAGATATAAAAAAGACCCAATTGATAGTTAATGATGAATGAACTTTTCAAAAAGTAGGATACTTTTTAGTCTTTAAAAAAAGAAACTGACTCTGAGATTCCTTCCATCTTACACCTGTCAGAATGGCTAAGATCAAAAACTCAAGCAACAGCTCATGCTGGCAAGGATGTGGAACAGGAGGAACACATCCTTTTCTGGTAGGAGTGAAAACTTGAAGAACAGTTTTGGAAATCAAATGTGTGCTTCCTCAGAAAATGGAAATCAATCTTCAAGACCCAGCTATATCTCTCCTGGGCATATGCCCAAGGGCACTCCAACATACCATAAAGATACTTGCTCAACTATATTCACTGTAGCTTTGTTCATAATAGCCAGAAACTGGAAACAACCTAGATATCCCTCAACCAAAGAATGGATAAAGAAAATGTAGTACCTTTACACAATGAAATACTACTCGGTTATTAAAAACAAAGACATCATGAAATTTGAAGGCAAACGGATGGAGCTAGAAAATATCATCCTTAGTGAGGTAACCCAGACCAAGAAAGACAAACATGCTATGTACTCACTTATAAGTGGATACTAGCCGTAAAATAAAGGATAATCATGCTACAATCCACAGATCCAAAGAAACTAAGTAACAAGAAGGGCTCAAGGGGGGATGCATAAATCTCACTGAAAAGGAGATATAGAACAAGCATCATGGGTTGGTAGGAGGGGGACGGGCAACCAGACAGGGGTGGTATGGGGATGGGAACAGGAGTAATTTGGTGACTGGAAGACAGAGAGAGTACTGGGAGAGACAACTGGAATGGGGGCCATCTCTAGGACAAGCTAGAAACTTAGAGCAGGAATCTATGAGGATGACCCTAGCTAGAACTCCTAGCAATGGGGGATATGGAGCCCAAACCCTCCATCTCCTGTAACCAGGCAAGACTTCCAATGGAGGAATTGGAACACCAACCAGCTACAAAACCTTCAACCTACAATTTATCTTTCTCACAAGATGTGCTGTGGTAAAGATGGAACAGAAACTGAGGGAGTGGCCAAGCAATGACTGGTCCAGCTTTAGGCCATGTCATGAGAGAGAGTTGACCCCTGACACTGCTAATGATATTCTGCTATACATGCAGACATGAGCCTAGAAAAACTGTCATCAGAGAGGCATCACCCAGCAACTGAAGGAAACAGATGCAGAGGCTCACAGCCAAACACTAGGCAGAGCTTGGGGAGTCCTATGGAAGAAGGAGAGGAAGGATTGTAGGAACCACAAGGAAACCCACAGAATCAACTAACCTAGGTCCACAGAGGCTCACAAAAGACTGAACCACCAACCAGAGAGCATGGATGGGACTGACTTAGACCTTTTGTACATATGTTACAGTTGTGTAGTTTGGTCTTCATGTGGGACTCCTAGGAGTGAGAGCAGGGATTGTCTCTGACTCTGGTGCCTACCTTTGGGACACTTTCCTCCTACTAGACTTCCTTGTCTAGACTCAGTCAGAGAAGATGTACCTAATCTTACTGCATATTGATATGCCAGGGCTGGCTGATATCCAAGGGAGACTACAATTTTTCTGAAAATAAACAGAGGAGGAGTAGTTGGGGGAGGGGAAAAAAGAGAGAGGAGGGACTGGAAGAAGAGGGGGGAGAAGAAACCACAGTCAAGAAGAAAACCCTGCTATTTGCCACATGAGGACAGATCTGAGAAACTTTTGCCAAGTATTGCCCCCTTCTCTCCTACCACCCGCACTGGACCTACAGATTGTTGTTAGCTGTGACGGGGGACTAGGAAGTGAACCCCGATCCTTTGCAAGAGCGGTAAGTGTTCATAACGCTTAAGCTATCTCCCCAGCCCCACAAATCTTGGTTTTGAACAACACACTACTGAATAATGACATTCCAGGTCGATGCATGAGCACCTGCAATTCCTTCTACATCTAATATGAGGATAGCAAATGAAAGATTTGGTGAGCAAATATAAGAGCCTGTAAAGGAAGAATTTTACCCTGAAAATATGCTGATAGATTAGTTGATTCCCAGCACCACCTGGTGTTGCCAAAGAAAACAATTCATAAGCTGCTGCAGCTTTGTTTCCTAAAGCATTCATATGGACTGGAGAAAGAACTCAGAAAAAGGCAATTTGTCCAGCTTATAGGCGGAAGCGGACATCAAGTACACAGACTGCAGTCTGCCAGGTCCTCTACTAGAAATGAGTTCCTGAAAACCAGGTGAGCAACCATCCTGGCCAAGGAGGAAGATGCCTGGTGTGAAACCAGATGAACACTTACACTCACATATATTTTTCTTCTAGCCAACAGCCTAATTCCGGCCTTGCATTTCACCAGGCCTTTTCAGAGTGGTCTTTAGCAACCACCACCTATACAATCAATGGTCTCCATGTCGACTCATTAAAACCCCCAGAGCAACCTGCAAGAATGGAAGTCTCTGTTCTCATTTCACAAGTAGGACAGATGCTCACTCAGTAGAGTGAAGCTTCTCAGGATCTCAGGAGGAGAGCTGATATGTAATCTAGTCTTTTGTGGATGTTTTGGTTTATGATATGCAAACATGCTTTTGTTAAAATTCCAAGTCGGGGATTTTAGTTTGTCCACACCTGTTATGTGTCTCATATGGGGCGTTGTCTCTGCCAGGTGGAATTAGTTGAATTCTGCAGACTTTGAGGGGTATAAATATGACAGCCCAGAGGAAGAAGGTGCAGCTGCTTGGAGGAGGACTGATTGCTGCTGGTTCATCCTGCATCTGCATTAGCTGTTTGCTGATTTACTGGTGACCTGGACTTCTGGATTTCTTGACTACTGATATTGGTAGGGCCCCAAAAAGACACCTACAACCCTACCCAGCAGCAAGTAGCAGAGAGAACCTCAACCCATGTCCCCACTAACTTTCTTTCCCTCCTGCCCAGTTTTGAAGGGTTTGAAAGGGAAGTAGAAACATTTAATAACCCTAAATAAAATAGACTTGTTAAAAAAATTTCAAGGTCCTACCTAGCAGTGTATCAAAGCAGATGCTGAGACTCATAACCAAACTTTGGGCAGAGTGCAGGGACTCATATGAAAAAAGAAGGGGGAGTCAATTAGACCTGCAGAGGACAGGAGCTCCACAAGGAGAACAATAGAACCAAAATATCTGGGCACAGGGGTCTTTTCTGAAACTGATTCTCCAACCAAGGATTATTCATGTATATAACCTAGAACCTCTGCTTGGATGTAGCCCACGGCAGCTCAGTATCCAAGTGGGTTCCCTAATAAAGGTAACAAGGAATGTCTCTGACATGAAGTCAATGGCTAGCTCTTTGATGCCCCACACACAAGGGAAGAGGAGCCTTGCCAGGCACAGAGGAGGATATTATAGCCATCCTGATGAGACCTGATAAGCTAAGGTCAGAAGAAAGGGGAGGAGGACCTCCCCTATCAGTAGACTTAGAGAGGAGCATGGAAAGAGATGAGGGAGGGAAGGTGGGATTGGGAGGGAATGAGGGAGGGAACTACAGCTAAGATAGAAAGCAAATAAAATGTAATTAATGTAAAAAAATAAAAAAATTTAAAAAATAAATAAGTAATGGTCCAATGACAATAATAATAAAAATAATAAAATCTATTATTGTCATTAAACTAAAATATGTCAATGAGGAAGTATATTTTTTTGAGGAAGTATAATTTTAACTTGTGACTTATAGTACAAACCAGCCCTACAGAAGATACTAGAAGGAAAACTGCAATCCAACAAAAACAACTACACCCAAGAAAACATAGGATATAGATAACTACATAACAAAAAATCAAAAGAATACAAGCAATGAAACAGTAACACCACCAACCCCACAACAACAGAAATTAACATTCTTTGGTCACTATTATCTATCAACATCAATGGACCCAACTCTCCAATAAAAACACACAGACTAACAAATTGGTTGCAGAAACAAGATCCAACATTCTGCTGCATCCAATAAACACACCTCTGCAACAAAGATAAACATTATGTCAGAATAAAGGGCTGGAAAAATGTTTTTCAAGCAAATGGACCAGAAAACAAGCTGGAGTAGCTACCCTAATATCTAATAAAATAGACTTTCAACCCAAGTTAATCAAAAAAGATGAGGAGGGGCACTACATTCTCATCGAAGGAAAAAAAATCCACCAAGAGGACATCACAACCCTGAACATCTATGCCCCAAATACAAGAGCGCCTACATTTGTAAATGAAACATTATTAAAGCTTAAATCACACATCGATCCCAACACCTTAATAGTGGGAGACTTCAACACTCCACTC